TTTTTTTTTTTTTTTTTTTTTGTTGTTGTTGTTGTTGCTTGAATTCAATTTTCCCTGACCTCTCAATTTGTTGACTTAAGAACTCTCTATTTTTTACATTTGACATTTTCTATTGTCAAACTTGAGAATTGATGTGATTTTTCTAGTTATTGTTGTGGACTGGAGCAAGTGCCTTTCAATTAACGTCCATCAATTAGTGGAATTATTTCCAATCCATGTTTTTCATTTTCTTATAATGTGAGCCACCCTTGTAATATTCAAGATCATGATTTCAATTTAAAGAACATAAAAGGTGGAGTTAAAATACTCAACTTCATTTACATGACGTTATATTTGTTTTTATATCATTTCAACTTTTCTCATCAATATATAAGATCGGAGTCCAACGCACTCCAAAGATTCACTTCTGAAGAATGATGTATATATTTGTAAGATCAAGTTAACTCAACAATGTACCAGAAATATGGCCTAATTGTCCACGTGAGTATTGATATTTAGTGCTTATATACTAGTAAAATATTCGTGTATTACACATGTGTTTGATAAAATAATTAAATATATATCAAAAATGAAGAAGAGTGTTTATATATTTTGTTGAAGTTAAAAATAAATAAATAAGAAACAATATATAACAATTTATAATAAAGAATTAAGTGAATTAACTATACTATAAATTCTGAAAATTAATTTACATGCATCATTAGTTTTATTTATAATATATATTGTTGTATCATAGATAGAGAGATTTACTTGAAATAGTATTCAAATTCTCGTTTAAATTTTAAAGTTAATATTCTTAGTATTTTTTTTTAAATGACGGTTAAATAAAAATTTGAGGGAGAAAAAGTTGCTATCCTATGAGTCAAATCTCAAGTGGCGGTAGAGATATTATTCGTGCAGTAGGTTTTTTACTTGTGGCTCAAAATTAATCAAAATCAAAGATGAAAGCATAGAACCAAAGATATATAATTCCAAGAACATGAGAATTGAGATGTTGAATGAAAAAAATGTCCAAAGGGAAAAAGAAGTGATTTATTATTATTAATAATTTATTATGAGAAATGAATAATGGTTTGATTCAAAGAAAAAGAAGTTGACTTTTAATGAATAAGTGACATACGGCACTCAACACCGTCAGCGTGCTATACTAAAATAAGTCGTGATGTGCTGACGTGCACGCGTGAATTAAAAATAAAAACAGTCAAATATTACTCTCTTCTATATAGAGCAACTATAATGGTGGAAGGTTTAGAAATGCTATAATCACAATTTTTACAGTTCGAAATGATAATGTAAATGTTAAATTCTTAACACGGTGTTGCAAACAACACGCAGTAAAATTAAATAAAAAAATAGTAGGAAAATTAAATGCATGATTGATATGAATTTTGCTAGTTTTTATCCAATCACTTTTAATCTAATTATTTTTTTCAACTCAACTTTAACTTAATCTCACTACCCTCAATATTATCAATATAATTAAATAATATCAATCAATCATCCTTACACATCTTACTAACTTTAATTTACTATTCATCACTCATACATAATTTAAACGACCCCTCACTTCTAATCATATTTTTCATAGTTTTACATCAAACTAACTTTAATTATTTGTTGGTATTTAACTATTTATAATTTGGATAATTAATTATTAATTGAGAATAGATGGGTATGGGGAGATTTTGATTATGGACTTGAAAATGAATAGCTTGGTAAATTTGAGGAGGAAGACCTGTTAATCTTGGTTTCTATTACTACAAATACATGGATACATGATATATACACAAATGAGGCGGTGGAATGAGGCCTCACAATTTGAATTTTCAACATTCTTAATTGCTACGAAAAATTTTTCTAGAGAATTCTTGCTTTCTACTAATTTCTAGATTCTTAAATGTTGTTAGATTCTTAAATGTTGTGGATGGTTCTAGAATGAACACCAGAATTTAACACTCTCCCGTGGTGTTCGTTCGGATAACTTTGACATTGTTCATGTATGTAGAGGCTTCTCTGACTTGTCTTTGGTTTCTCTGATATTTGGCTCGGCCATTGCTTGATTGCATATTTTGTAGCACTTTGACTTTTGTTGTGAGGCTCTATAAACTTGTCTTCTAATGGCAGTGTATGCTTGTTTCTCCTGATGGCTTGATTGTGTATTTTCCTTCTTGGCATCTTCTCTTAGACTTTTAACACTTGACTTGACAATTGACTTGTTCTTTTGCACTGAGTAGTGAAATTCCATTGTGAAATAGTGATTCTCCCTCATTTTGATTTTTGCAATTGTCCTCTTGTCCTTGTCGTAAATGGTGCATGAATCTCCCCTGAATTGCAAGTTGTAGCCTTTCTTTAACATTTCTCCGACCTCTAGTAGATTTTGATCGATCATTGGAACTAGGAGAACATTTTTGATATATTTTGTGCCTTCTCTTGTGTCGATGGCGATAGTTCCTTTGCCCGTTGCCTCCATATAGTCGCCATTTTCAATCTTGACTTGTGAACTGAATTTTTCAATATCGCAAAAAATACTTTCGTCGAATGTCATGTGATTGTTGCAGCCGCTGTCTAAGTACCAAATGCATCTTTTTGTCTCCTGTTGTACCGTTGGAGGCCTAAAACAATAATTCTTTTGGCTCTGGCTCTGTCTCTTCTGAAAAATTGGCTCGTTGACTTTGTCTTCTCCCCAACAGTTTTTCTCGATATGACCAAACCTTTGACGTTTTTTGCATTTGGTTTCTCTCAAAACCAACACTCTTCTTCTTTGTGATTATTTTTTTTGCAAATTTCACATGGTGTATCATACCATATTTTGTTTTTTTCGGGTCTAGAATATTCTCCATCGCTTGATTTTTCGAAATTATTCTCTTGATTTTTGAAATTTTGAGACCGTAAATTTAATTTTGACTGAAATGTTGTTTCAACCTCTTTTTCATTTTCATTCAAATTAGTTCTTCTTTCATAAGCCTCGAGAGAACCAACTAATTCTGTCACTGGTAAACTATTTAAATCTTTTAATTCTTCAATGCCTGTAACGATTGGATCATATTTTTCAGTGACAGTAATTAGTATCTTTTCAATAACCTTTTTATCTGAAATGTCTTCTCCAGCAGCTCTCATTTGATTAACCATCTCAATTAATTTTGTATAATATTCTTTCACGATCTCATTTTCTTTCATTTTTATATATTCGTAATCACGCTTGAGAGTCTGTAGTTTGACTGCACGTACCTTGGATGTTCCTTGAAATTCTTCTTATAAAATCTCCCAAGCTTCTTTGGCACTATTGGCTTTGATAACTCTTGGAAAAATATTATCCGACAAGGCTTGTTGGATTATGTAGAGTGCTTGTGCATCCTTCCGACGCTCTTTACGTAACTTTTTTTGTTCTTGAACGGACAACGTTGATATTTCAGTGGTAATATTGACTCTATCTGCGACAACTTCCCATAACTCCTGTGACAAAAATAATGTCTTCATCTTGATGCTCCAATAGTCATAATTTTCTCTTCCTAAGTATGGGTAGAGGAATAGTGTTGCTTGATGATGATGCCATTTGTATTGTGATACGCCACAAATCTTTTGATCCACCGGGCTCTGATACCACTGTTGGTATTTAACTATTTATATCTTGGATAATTAATTATTTAAAAATGAGAATAGATGGGTATGGGGAGATTTTGATTATGGACTTGAAAATGAGTAGCTTGGTAAATATTTGAGGAGGAAGACTTGTTAATCTTGGTTTCTATTACTACAAATACATGGGTACAAACCATATAAATACACAAATGAGGCGGTGGAATGAGACCTCATAATTTAACTTTTCAGCATTCTTAATTGCTAAGAAATAATTTTTTAGAGAATTCTTGCTTTCTACTAGATTCTAGATTCTTAAATGTTGCTAGATTCTTAAATGTTGTGGATGTTTCTAGAATGAACACCACAATTTAACATATTTTATTTTAAACATTATTTTATTATAAACTCAAATTCCACACAATTTTAACCCATATAATTTTTTAAAAATTAATTATGGTTAACAAAACAAATCAATCAAAACTCAATCAAATCTATATCCAATCACCCTAGGCCAAAACCAAGTTTTTCTGCAGCTGTTGGACCGACATTAAACAACCATCACTCACTTGCTTTAAACGTGGCCAAATCCCGATTTTGGATTGAAATCGTCAATTTCGGGTCGGGGTTTGGAGGGCCTTGAACCGGCCCTATCATATGCGCGGGCCGGTTCAATGAACCGACGATTCTCGGCTGGTATGGCTTATTAAATAATAATAAAAATTTAAAAATAAAAAATAAAAAATTAAATTAAACTGTAGGTTCAAACTTTGGAAATGCTTGAACCAAAACCGACCTGGGTTAAACCACGAGCGTGGTCATGTCTAACTTAATTGCCTTAATTTGTAAAATAAAATATAGTCCATATTTAAGCGGTACTTTTTTTGTCCTTTAAGATACTGAAAAATTGAGAAAAAAAAAATA